ATATATATATATACACACATACATACACACACTGGCCTTGAATTAAAGCTGTATGGCACAGAATATGCTGGAAAATAAGTTTAGGACCTAGGTTTTACAGAAGGAAAATCTGTATAATGAAGGAGGTTAGAGACCTCACTCGACCACCTATTTAGCTACCTAGCCTGGTGTGGACTATTTGACCTCTGGGCTTATAAAAGGTGAACTTTTAGGGTTTTTGCAAACGTGAAATGTTGGCACACAGTAGGGCCTTTCCTTCTTTCTACCCTTAGCTGGGCCTGTCTTTCCTAATTCAGAATGGAAAAGTACTAACACAGAAAACCAAAATGTGGCTGTCTGGATAACTTGAACATATCTGACCGATCCCACCGTCTGGTTTTCAGCCTCCTGTGCTGTCCAGAAAGCTGGGTTTCAGCATGAACTGAATGACGCCTTCAGCTTCAAAGAGCCTTTTGCTAACTGGAGCAACTCTGGCAAACTCAGGGATGGTGTGAGAGACTCAGGCCCATGGGAGAAACTGTGAAGGATCTGCAGATGTTTAGCTGCCGAGAGAAGACACAGTGGGGACATGAGTGCTGTCTCCAAATATTTGAAGGGTAATGTCATGTGGAAGAGAAATTAGATTTATTCTGCATGACTTTGTAAGTGGAGACAGATTGCAAGTTTATATATAGAAAACCTTTATTCAAAAGTAAGATAGTCCTAGAGTGATGCCATCTTTGGAAGCAGGGCGGGTCCCAGTTCTAGAGAGATTCTATTGGAGGACAGCTGTCCACTTCCTGGGAGCCCGACAGGAAAGGCTGGAGGAGGGGACCTCCAGGGCTTTCATCCCAGGTCAGGGAGGCTTCAACTCAGGAGGCAACATTATTGGGACGGAATAGCCATTGAAAGGGTGCCGGGCACACACACAGGAGAGCACAGGTTGTGTGAACTTTAACCTTCTATAACAAAAGAAAGCCACGCCACATTAGAGAGCGGGGCGGAGGCTTTAACTGCTGAAAATGAAAACATTCATACTTTATTGTATCGTATTTTACAGGTTTTTGCAGACACGGGGGCCAAGTGAAACTGAGCCAAGATCTTAAATTACATTTTAATTTTACCTTCTCTGTCCCCTGTGATTTTGACATAAGTAATTAAAAGTGATCCTGGACCTCTGACCTGTTCATTTTAGGGGACTTCTTTTCTTCTTTTCACCTGCAAGCCTCTGCAGTTGTTGGTCAACTGCTTTTAACAACTAAACATTAAAGCCTCTGAGAGCATAAACAGGAAGCTGGTATTTAGGTGGGAGTTCCCAGGAATTTTATACCACGGACCACGGAGGCCAAGATAGAAAGGAAATGGGAAAAGCAGTGTAAATACCTGGGTGACTAATGACTGTGCAGCTCAGCTCAGCGGGCTTTTCTGAACGTTTCACGGGAAGTCCTTGCAAGGGAAACACCCCAAGAAAGGTTGCAGGACGCCTAGCGGCACTGAATGCCGAAGGGGAGTGTTAACTGCACGGGTGGCGTGGTTTCCCTCCCGGCGACGGGGCTGGGCGCTGCTGGGACCCGGCCCGTGAGTCTCCCAGTGACTGCATTTGCATGCGTGGTGCACACGGATGTCCTCCCTGGGCCGGGGTTCCCAGGCCTCTGCAGACCTCCGATTGTTCAGGATTCTAAGGCCACTTCTCTCCCGGTTCACACGGAGGGAGAGCGCCTAAGAGGATTTAGAATCAAGTGGGCACGTTCACGCGGCCTTGTTCTGAAGAGGCAGCTGGAGCGGCCGCCGGCTTTGTGCGGAGGGGCCGCGGCGGGGGCCCATTGTGCCTGAGCCCCTCTCCCGCCCGGCT